GAAAAAGCGAAGTCTTTGTAAGTTATATCCCATAATAAAAATTTGAATTTGAATTTGACTTAGATGTTGAAATGTTAAGTGTTTCAATAATTTATCAAGCTTCGACTTGAATAATTGAAATGTAGGAACTCACATAACGTGGGATGGAAGAGAGCATTCTATCCCCACCGCACACCCATACTGCAATGGAGTCATGTTTACAATCTGGATGACTGCTGTGGACTCGCAACTTCAATCGATGTCGCATGAGATGATTATTTTGGGATCAAATTAACACAGGATGGCTATGTGGTTGGTTTGATGCAGTAAGTGATAATGTGATGGAGCGCGGTACAAAAAGAGTTCTGGTAGGCGACCGAATCAAGAATGGGGCTCATCCGACCAGACGCGCAGACGCAGCGGCGGGAAGTGCCTCGCGAGACAGTGTCGACTGCCACCCGAAACGAGCGAATCGACAATTACAGCCCGACAGACAATCCGCAGCTAACATGAATCATCCCGCCGCGCGGTTGAGAATTGACCGTATATATACGAACGACGGAGATATGGAGAAGTGGATTTGCGATTTTGAATTAATCGCATCGTGCAACGGCATCAAATCGAGTGCGCACCTGGTCACCGCTTTGGGTGCACTGCTTTCCGGACGAGCGAGGGCCGCTTACGATTTGATCTTGGAAAGCAACCAAGCCATGAATTATGAGAATTAGAAATTTGCATTGGTGGCAGACTTCTCAAAAGAGGGTGACCGCGAGAAGGCGATGAACCGGTTTTACGCTGCGGAGTACAACCGGACTGAGGACCCGCTGGTGCACTACCAATACATAAAGCGACAAATTTCCCTGGACCTGAGGTGAATAACGAAACGCGGGAGAGACGTGCCAAAGACCGGTTCATAAAAAGTATGCCGGCACAAGTGAAAGACAAACTGAGACTTGCGTTGGCGTGCCGAGTGAATGATGCAGAGGGCCTAAGTTCGATCGCTCAAGTCTGTCAACATGATGACGTGTTTGTTGGGGTGGATGCTGCTGAAACTGAAGATAGGATTGAACAAATATTTGAAGAAATTGGAAGACTGAAGGAGGAATTGAAAGGTGGATCACAAGGAAGGTGACGTTTCAGGGCTCAAGTTCGGCCAAAGCGATGTTTCAGTTTCCACGGTATAGGGCACCTTGCCCGTTTTTGCCCAAATCAGCACATTCGTTCATGTTTTTTTGTTTCAAATCCAACTATCCGGGGGAGAGGGGGGTCCAAGGCTCGAGGTTTTCATTTTGGGACGGTCAAAGTTGGCTGTTATTGATACTGGTGTCGGGATTTCCATTATTCCTCGGGTGGAAGGGGTTCCGGTGAAACCGCGCAATGTGAGCGTGCGTGCGGTTAAGGGTATGCCACTCGGAGTCTTGGATAAACAATGCGTCAGTGTGAGGATTGGTGGGGTGACCGTTACCCATGAGATGGTCTTGATCGAAGGTGTAAGTGAGGTTATAATCGTAGACGATCTGCTCAGGCGCGTGGGTGCGAAGATCGTTTTCGTACGAGGTAAATGACTCGTGGGATCACAAGCACATGAATTACGCTCTGGAAAACAAACGTGTTCTCTCGTCAGCGTTGTAAGGAAATCGACCGTTCCGAAGTGTTCGATTCCATGTATTAAGCAATGCGTTGAAAAGTATTCTGAATTGTTTCCTACTGTGGGCGGTGAATATGGATTTTGTGATTGGTTGGAGCACAAAATAGAACTGATGCCGAGGGCCGCGTGTAAACCAGTGTACCGAAGGATACCCCACAAGATACTGCCGGAGGTAGAGAAACAGGTACGCGATATGCTGTCAAAAGGTATCATCCGCAAAAGTACCAGCCCGTACTCGTCACCGGTGCTACTCATTAGAAAATCTCACGGTATTTACAGATTTTGTGTCGACTTTCGAGAAATGAACCGCATAACCATAAAGAACGCCTTTCCGATGCCCCTGACGGATGGGATATTTGAAGAACTCCACTCTGCTCGGGTACTGTCATTAATTGACTTGCGATCTGGGTATTAGCAGCTACCAGTAGCAGCCAGCGACAGAGAGAAAACTGCATTTTGTGTCAACGGGCAACAATACGAATTCGTTCGGATGCTATTCGGACTGTGCAGTGCACCAACCACGTTCAGACGTCTGTTGCTACAAATATTGGAAAACTTGGACGGTGTTGTAGTGTACGCGACGATATTGTAGTGTTCTCGAAGACACCAGGGGAACACGTGCGTCGCCTGTAAGTGGTACTGGGGAGAATCAAAAATGCAGGGTTGAAACTCAGCGCAAATAAATGCCAAATCGCTCGGAACACAATCACCTGCTTGGGTCACACTGTCGGCGGAGGTAAAATTAAACCGTTGCTCGAGAAGGCTGAAGTGATTCGAAACTTTTCTCCTCCAAAGTCCAAACGCCAATTACGGTCGTTTTGGGGATGAGTAGGATATGATGCAAAATTTGTACCCCACTTCGCTGAAAAGGCTACCCCCTTGTTCCAGTTGCTGAGAAAGGACAGGAAGTTTGAGTGGACGCCAGAGTTGGAGACGGCCTTCCAAGAGCTAAAAAAATATTACGGCTTCTGAGAGAAGATGTCTGAAAATACCAAACCCTGCTGGAACCTTCACTGTGGCCGTCGATGCTAGCGATATTTGAATCGGAACAGTGCTGTCACAACCTTACGGAGTACTTGAATATGCCAGCCGCCTGCTCACAGACGTTGAAAGGAAGTACTCGACCACTCAAATGGAGTGCCTGGCGATCGTA